TTCTATTCTATTCTATTCTATTCTATTCTATTCTATTCTATTCTATTCTATTCTATTCTATTCTATTCTCTATTCTATTTTCTATTCTGTTTTCTATTCTATTCTATTCTATTCTATTCTATTCTATTCTATTCTATTTTCTATTCTATTTTCTATTCTATTCTATTCGTGGCTGGAATTCTGAACCCGGGCGGTCCAAGTCAACACGGACCTTCATGGGCCTCTCCATTTCTCCACAAAGCTTCCTGGCTCCCACCATCTCTCCTGATGCTTGGGACTCTCATACCTTTGGAATAAAGTAGCCTCGGAAATGGGTGTCCACGGCGGTGCAGCGTGGGAACTGTGGCACGACAGAGGCAAACCGCTGGACCTCATGAATCATGGCGTTGGTGAAGGGCATCTGCTTCCTGTCTCCGTAGACCGGCAAACGCTCTGATCCAAGCACTTGCTGGATTTCCCGCTGGACCTTCCCTGCAGGAGGAGCGGTCCGAAAGTCAAGGCCCGGGAGCTAAGGGCCCTTTCCTTCATCAGCCCTGGAGAGGCAGCTGTGTTCCTTGAGTTGTCCTTCAACAGCTTGAGGAGATCAGCTGCTCTCCAACCCTCTTAGCAAGTTGGGAAGAGCTCTAAGGAAAGGGGTCGCCAACCGTTTGGACCTCAGGGACCACCAAACTCATAATTTTAAATCCCACGGACCACTAATATGAATTTTGACCGACGGTGGCTTGCTGACGTCGGTGGGGAAGTCGGTCCCATATCCCAGAGCTGCAGGAATCACAGGACCGGCCCTTTGGTCATCCCGGAGCAGCTACTCCACCACATGGGTGCACCGGCCTGCCATGGACTGGAGAAGCTGCTCTGGGGTGACCAAAGGACCAGTCCTGTGACTCCTGCAGCTCTGGAATAGGGGACCGACTTTCCCACCAACGTCCGCAAGCCACCCTGGGGCGGATTTCCCTCCCCTGACGTTGGTCTTACCTTCCAGTTCTAGCTCGTGTGGCTCTACTCAAGGGTTGCACTTGGTTGAAGGTTGGGGGCCATGTGGTCAGCGCAGCCTTGTGTTCCCACTTAGCCTGGATTAATTGCTTTGGGGGAGACATTTCTCTGCGGACCACCAAAATTTTCACACGGACCACCAGTGGTCCCCAGCCCACCGGTTGGTGACCACTGCTCTAAAGCAGTCTACCTGCTGGCCCTCCAAGGACAACTGCCAAGCCACCAGAAGGCCATCGTAACCACTGTCTAAACTTTGGAGGAACTCAATTGCTATCTCGGCTTCTTCTGTTCCAGGTCAAGAACTCTGTGGCCCTTGATTAGTTTGGAGCTGTTTCTGGCTACTTGGGTGTGCAACGTTCTCCTGGGTTCACTCTCCAGGCAGGGTGGGAGGAGAAGCCTCATGGCTTGAAGGAAGAAAACAATGGGAGAGATAATCTTGGCTCCTAGGCGATCTATGACTGGTGGGGATCAGCTTCCCCCACCCCTCGGTTCAGCCCAATCCAGGGGTCTTAGCCAAAGAAAATGCTGGCTTACTCTGAATCTCAGGGTACTTCATCATCAGCAGAATGGTCCACTGCAGAGTGGTGGCCGTGGTCTCCGTCCCAGCCATGACCAGGTCAAGAACTGAAGCCATGACATTGGGGTTCTGAAATATGTTCTTCTTGCCACCCTCTCTCTGAAAAACAAGAGGCAAAAATTGGTTTGGTCAAAGAAAAGAATGTGGACTGGGAAGGCAGATTGGTGTGAGTGTGTGTGTGTGTGTGAGAGAGAGAGAGAGAGAGAGAGAGAAAGAAATAGAAAGAGAGAGTGAAATAGAGAGAAAGAGAGAAAGAGAGACTGAAAGAGAAAGAGAACAAGAGAGAGGAAAAGAAAGAGAAAGAGAGAGAGAGAGAGAGAGTGAAAGAGAATGAGAAAGAGAGAGAGTGAGAGTGAAAGAGAAAGAGAACAAGAGAGAAAGAAAGAGAAAGAGAGTGAAAGAGAAAGAGAGAGAAAGAAAGAGAGTGAAAGAGAAAGAGAACGAGAGAGAAAGAAAGAGAGAGAGAAAGAGAAAGAGAGAGAGTGAAAGAGAGAGAGAGAGAGAAAGAGAGAGTGAAAGAGAAAGAGAACAAGAGAGAAAGAGAACAAGAGAGAGAAAGAAGAATTATAATCCTATACATCTCAGGAACCCAGGTTGGAAAATTATTTGAGGATGCGGTTAAGTTTTCTGTGGTCGCCTAACAGAGTAGAGGGAAACGGCCAAGCCTTGGAGCCCCCGACCTCTTGCTGCTGTTTGAACAACATGGAGTCGACGTAGCTTTGCAGCTGGTTCTGGCTCAGCTTCTCCTTGCTGGCTCGCATGTATTTTTCGATGATGGCGCAGGTTTCTTCGATCTTTTTCAAGATCATCTTATGGGGTTTGAGAAGGAATCCAAGGAAGGGATAGACGTTATACACCTGGAAAAGAGCAAATGAACCGAGATCAAACCCATAAAGAGAACGAGGTTACACTCTGGTGCCTGTTCCTTTAGTCAATGTTTTTAGGATCTTCTTCGTGGGGAACTGGGGAACTTCAGAGCTTTAACTATGGAAAGGCTCAAATTTTAATTCAACATTTTGAAGGTACGAAGAGCAGCTATTCTCCATGTATGTGTGTGTGTGTGTGTGTGTGTGTGTGTGTGTGTGTGTGTGTGTGTTTTCTTAAGTTAACCAAGCTGAATAACATACAATACATACATACACACACACATATGTCTATATCTATCTATCTATCTATCTATCTATCTATCTATCTATCTATCTATCTATCTCTATCTATCTATCTATCTATCTATCTATCTATCTATCTATCTATCATCTATCTATCTATCTATCTATCCATCCATCCATCCATCCATCTATCTATCCATCCATTTAGATAGAAAATCAATTTTGGCTTTTAGGGGAAGTGACTGGCTTTTTCTAGACATCATCCATAAATGTAAGTTTGAAAAAGAAAAAACACTTTCTGGAGGGGAAAAATAACAAAAAGACAGCAATGAAATTTCTTTTGAAAAGGGAACAACTTAAAAAAAAAAAAACCCACCCAAAATTTAAAATGGCCCTTTTAGAAATCTGGTAGAGCACAAAGTCAGAGTCAGAGCCATGGGAGCGCAACCGATGTATTCCTGATCTTTAGCATTTAAAAAAGAATCCTTCCAGAAATTTCAGAAATTATTAATGGGGTGGAAAATTAACGGGGTCGAAGCCGTATCCGAATAAACCAGGAGGAAATTTGAAAGCCTGGAATGGCTGGTTTTTTTCTTGTGCAAAGCAGATATTGGACTCCATCAGGAGAATGAAGGGAAAAAAAATTATAACCGGAACGTATCATTCCGAGTCCAGAACTGCACTTGGCAATCTCCGGCCTGAACGATGTTTTGGCTCCTGTCGTTCTCTTTCCTGCTTTCTGGAGGGGAATGGGCGACTCAATGCCAACACATCTAGAGGCCCTGACAGGGTGTCTCTCTTCCCTCAATTTCCACAGCCCTGAACATTCCTCCTTTCCTTCCAAGCCGCTTATTTGGGCTGCTCCGCTGCGCATCTTTCTATCCACAAGCGTTTCTTTCGAAAGCCAGAAGCATTGACATTTGCAAAACGAGGGGTCCTTGGGGCTCATGGAGTTGGGTGGTTTTCTTGTCGATGTTTTATTATCCAAACTAGGTCGCACCATCAGCGCAATCCCCACTCCCTTCTAGCATTGATGATGTGACCTAGTTTGGTGATGAAACGTCTGCAAGAAACCAAACAAGCTCAGAGAACACCAAGGATCCTTCATTTCTTCTCCTCCCTCCTGCTCCTCCTCCTCCTCCTCCTCTTCAGGATACCGGCAGAGGGGAGGGTTCCAAAACAGGGTTTGCTTTCGACTCTAAAACCACCAGCAGTTGAAAAACCATCTCTGGAGATCTGTGCAGATTCTCAGTCATCCAGGTCAATGCTTTCTCAAGAGGCAAATGGACACATCTTGTTTTTTCTTTCAAGACGTTTCGCTTCTCCTCCAAGAAGCTTCTCCAGCTCTGACTGGGTAGTGGGGAATGGAAGGATTTATATTCCTTGCGGACAGAGCTGGTCGTTTGCATCCTTTTTGGAGAGTCATTGAGGATACCTGGAGGTTGATCCGTGTCCTCAAAGTCACCTAAACAGTGCAAATAGGTGGGGGAGACTTCCTGGAACGATTCCAAGTGGCCTCATCGACTCTCTAAAAAGGATGCAAACAACCAGCTGACTGCAAGAGGTATAAATCCTTCCATTACCCACCATCCAGTCAGAGTTGAAGAAGCTTCTTGGACAAGAAGCGAAACGTCTTCAAAGAAAGAAAGAAAAAACCTCCAGAAAGTCTTGACAAAAAAGTGCCTTTGGGGCCTCTTGGAATGCATTTTGCCCCTTTTTAGGAAAAGCAGGGGAAGATCGTCTTACTTGTAAGGCCGGAGCCCCCAGAAGACTCATCACTTCATCGATGTTTCTTAGGAGGATGGTGAAAGTTGGGTCGGCGTAGTCAAACCTCTCTCCAAAGAGGATGATGAAGGTGATATTGGTCGGAGCTGCAGAGAAGGTCTTCAATGAAAAAGGCTCGCCTTAAAAAAGAAAGAAGAAGAATAGAAGACGATTCCAAGAACAGACGAAGGATATAAAACTGTGAAGGTGAGCCTACGGCATGCATGCCAGAGGTGGCACAAAAAGCCCCCTCAGTGGGCACTCGCACCGTCGCCAGCTGCTCTTCTGGTATGCACATGCGTGCCAGCCAACTGCTCTTTGCAGCCACTGGAACACTGAAAAATGGCCTGGAAAACAGCTCAGAAAATGGTCTGGAAATGGGCCAAAAAACAGGTCATTTTCCAGGCCATTTTTTCGGGCTGTTTTGGTGCAAAATATGGCCTGAAAACGGCCAGGAAAATGGCCAAAAAACAGGCCATTTTCCAAGTCATTTCCCAGGTTGTTTTCCTGACCATTTTCCGGCTGTTTTCAGGATGGCTTTGGGGGGCAGTTTTGGCATGAAAAACAGCCTCAAAATGGCCCCCCAAATGGCCTGAAAACAGGCCTGCATGCACCGGCCAGCTGGTCTTTAGTTTTTCCGCCACTCCAGCCACACACATGCACACACCCGCCTGCGTGTCCCAGTTTGGGCACTCAGTGTGGAAAAGGTTCTCCACCACTGCTCTAGAAGAACCCAGGATGGAGATCGGAGGAAGAAGTCTCTCACCTTTGAAGGAGTTGACCTTCTCAACCAGGAAACTGAGCTCCTCACGCATCTTTCCTTCAATGAGGGAAGTGCCCATCCCGAGGTTTCGTATCATGGTCAAGGTGGCCCGGCGTGTGTCCTTCCATATTTCTCCAGTGGAGAAGAAGATACCTGAGGAACACACTCCCTTCATTCATATCCCATCAAAGGAGGATCGTATCTCATAGAAGAGAATTCCCTCAAAGGTCTCCTATAATTGGTCAGCCTTATTTCTCTCCATATTAGCTCCACGGAGCAGAGAAGAAACGGGAATGAAGGTGACCAGAAATTAGAGCCTATCTAACAGCAGAAACCTTTCAACAATGGATGGAACCTGTTAAGATATGTACAGAATAACCCTTGAGTAACAAGGATATGCACATGGAAACATTTATGAGTTATGAATAATTATTCAGTCACACACAGCTACACTAAATTGAGTTAAAGTTTACTTTAAGAAATAGCCCAGTCCAATAAACAGTCCAGGTCATAAACATTTAACAGTCCAAAGAATATCCAATTACAAAGTCTTCTTACTGGTTGCCTTTGTCATTTACAGTAAACAAAGATATCAAAGTATAAGCACAACATAAATACAACAGAGAACCTTAGATAGCAACAGAATGAAAGCAGGTTCACACTGAGCACATGTGACAGGCATGACAGGGTCTGGAGACGCCATGGAGAACGTTCTGCTGCCTGCAACATCCTCCAGCCTGACCGGTTTGACAGTGGGTCAGTAATGGTGTGGGGTGGCATTTCTTTAGGGGGCCACACAGCCCTCCTTGTGCTTGCCAGAGGTAGCCTGACTGCCATTAGGTACCGAGATGAGATCCTCAGACCCCTTGTGAGACCATATGCTGGTGCAGTTGGCCCTGGGTTCCTCCTAATGCAAGACAATGCTGGAGTTCATGTGGCTGGAGTGTGTCAGCAGTTCCTGCAAGACGAAGGCATTGATGCTATGGATTGGCCCACCCGTTCCCCAGACCTGAATCCAATTGAGCATATCTGGGACATCATGTCTCGCTCCATCCATCAACGCCACCTTGCACCACAGACTGTCCAGGAGTTGGGGGATGCTTTAGTCCAGGTGTGGGAGGAGATCCCTCAGGAGACCATCCGCCACCTCATCAGGAGCATGCCCAGGCGTTGTAGGGAGGTCCTACAGGCACGTGGAGGCCACACACACTACTGAGCCTCATTTTGACTTGTTTGAAGGACATTACATCAAAGTTGGATCAGCCTGTAGTGTTTTTTTCCACTTTAATTTTGCTTGTAACTCCAAATCCAGACCTCCATGGGTTGCTAATTTTGATTTCCACTGATAATTTTTGTGTGATTTTGTTGTCAGCACATTCAACTATGTAATGCACAAAGTATTTAATAAGAATATTTCATTCATTCAGATCTAGGATGTCTTATTTTTGTGTTCCCTTTATTTTTTTGAGCAGTGTATATAACATGTAAAGGAAGAACGCTCTGATTCGGCCACCTCCTTTTACTCTCCTTCAGTTGCACCTTTGGAAGGCTGGACTCTAAAAGATCAGCTATCTCATTCATTCCCAAGCATGGTTACCGTTTTTGTGTTGGATCTGTAAGAATATGGGGATGGGAGGCCGGTCGATAAACTCATTTCTCTTGCTCAGGAGGGCCTCTTTCACCGCCTCGTAGCCGACCAGCACCACAATCTTCTGTAGGCCAAAATGGAGTGTGAAGACAGGGCCATAGGTTTTGGAAAGCTGGAGGAGGAAACGAAAGAGAAGACATCCAGAACTTACTGTTGCTGAGCATTGGAATCCTGTGAGGCTAACAGTTAACAGAAAAATAGAGTTGGAAGGGACCTCGTAGGTCATCTAGTCCAACCCACCACCCAAGCAGAAGACCCTACACCATTTCTAACAAATGGCAGTCCAATTCCTTCTTGAAAGCCTCCAGGGGTGAAGCTCCCACACCTTCCGAGGGCAACTTCTGTTCCATGGGTTGACTGTTCTCACTGTCAGTAAGGCAGGACATAAAATATATATTAATTTTAGAGAAATAATGATACAATAATGATAGATAGTGAAATACGTGGTATTAGCAAGAAAAAGAACAAGGAACTGTGAAATGCCACACCACAAGGATCATCTATCGGTCACAAAGTCATATTTGCCAAGATATCTTGTCTCGCTCGTAAGCTAGGGAGTTTAGCATGATGGGTTTGTGACATCCAGCCATCCTAGCCTAGCAACAGGGGAGTAACCAATGAATGACTGACAAGTTATAAGTTTCTGTGTTTTGCCCCTTCTGAAGAAGTATATGGGCATGTGCTGTTCAAGAAGAAAGTTGTTCGGAAGTGACTCTCACTAAAATACTCTGAACCTGTCTGCGCAAATAAAACCAACTTATTTTCGGATTCCAAGGTCTGAGTCTCGTAATTTCCTGCAACATCAGAACGTTTCTCCTTATTTCCAGGTTGAATCTCTCCTTGTTCAGCTTCCATCCATTATTCCTTGTCTGGCCTAGAGGCACTTTAGAAAAGAGCTTGACCCCCTTCTACCTCCCTGTGGCAGCCCAATAGACCCTTTCTGTCCAACAGATATTATTAAAAGTCGTAAGTTTCAAAGACTGCTCAAGTTTGGTTAGTTGGAAGGGGGCTACCACACCCCTTCAGATGTTTGGCTCCTCCCCTACAGAGATCCACTCTGAAAGGAAGCAGCCCTTGCAGTCTACACCAAGGCGAGGGAGAAGCCAACTGAGTTCCTTGGGGGAAGAAGATCCTCCCACCACCAGGGTCCAAAAAGACTCTCTCTGAAGGACCCACCTCCTCAACCTCTCTGGTTAGGAGTCTCCAAACCTAGCAACTTTAAGACTGGTGGCCTTCAACTCCCAGAATTCTGGGAGTTGAAGTCCACTAGCGTTAAAGTTGCCAAGTTTGGAGACCTCTGAATCAGAGGAACATTCTCCTATGAGATGGTAAATGTCCCCATCTGAGTTCATCGCATCGAGAAGGAACAATCAAAGTCTGTGCTCATCAGGTCTTCTTCTCATGCTCTTCCTGGAATCTAGCATGGAAAGCTAGATGGCCCCAAGTCCCTCTGACAGAAAGCTGCGTGATATCACATCAGACTTTGCCCACTCCTGGCCAATGTTGTCTAAACCAGGGGTCGCCAACCTTTTGGACTTCAGGGATCACCCAACTCATCGTTTTAAATCCACCCAAAGTGTGCAGGAAAATCCTCCAACCCTTTTTCCTACCGATCGATTGATCTTTATTTGGGATCGCAGGATACTGTCTCCAGCTTCGTTCTCAGGAGGTGGGGAGGGAGAGAGAGAGAGAGACTTTTGGCTTCATTCAAGGAAAGCAGCAGAAGCAGCAGAAGTCTTTCTTTCTCTCCCCCAAACTCTGCCAGAAACGAGTCTTTGTGAGCCTCTTGGAGCAGGAGGCCTTGCAGGGTCCTAAAGACTCATTTCTGGCGGAGTTTGGGGGAGAGAAAGAAAGACTTTGGCTGCTTTCCTTGCGTGCAGCCAAAAGCAGAAGAAGAAAGAAGCAGAAAGAAGCATCCTGGTGGCCAGCCAAGGCACGTGGGGCGAGTGGGGCAAGTCCCCCCCCCGCCCTTTCCCCCCTCCACTCCCTACCTCGTGTTGTTCGCAATGCAAGCGACACAAGTTTTGTGTTCCTGCGTAGCCTGGATTAATTGCTTTGGTGGGGGAAACATTTCTCTGCGGACCACCAAAATTTTCTCATGGACCACCAGTGGTCCTCAGCCCACCAGCTGGCAAACACTGGTCTAAACTAAAGTTTCAGATGGGGAAATACCTTCCCATCACTCTCCCTGCTCTTTTAAGTGAGAAAATAAACCTCCAATTCTCTGCTTGGATTCTATCTATGGTAGCCCTGTTTTGTGTATTTATTTGGCATACAGCCCTTCTCAATGCAAGCGACATAATACACTGCCTGACACACACACACACACACACACACACACACACCTTCTACAACTGGGGGAGTTTCCACAGAAAATAGTTATTCTTCTGTCAAAGCAATAACACAACCTGTGAAACCGCATTAAGGTTGGGTTTACAGAGAGAGCCATCAATACTAGAAGCACCAATTCACATGACATTTGGTGCGGATTAACACCCCTTGAAATGCAAAGCACATTTTAAAGCAAGTATAGTTGTACCTGCCTGTTTTTAAACTTGGCATAGGAGGGCTCAAGAAATTCCAGGTGATAAACGCCTAGATTTTTTTATGACACCTAAAAATATTCTTTTTTTTTTTTTAGCTTGTTCAAGTTAAGTCATCAATTCTGTCTGTTCATTTTTGCTAATAGCTCATTTCTGGGTTGGGTTTGTTTGAGCTTTTTAAAATTGTTTTGAAAAAAAGCTTCGGCACAAAATTTTTTAAAAAATCCACTTGTCGTTGAGAATAACATTTCCTCCATCCGATAACAGGAAAGTCTAGTGCAGAAAATCTGCTCGTGTTTAAGGTATGAGCAAATGTCCAGATTTCACCACAACATGCCTTCTCTGCGGGGAACTTTTTCAGAGTCTGCAAGCAAGAGTATTTGGGCAGATATGACTTCCTAAACCCTGTGGGACCATCCTTATCTGCCATAACCTTTAAAAATGGCTAGAGTTCTGCCCTCATGTGTTGTAAAGAGACATCAGAAGAAATATAGAATATTATTTGATCTCTTGATAAAGTTGTGGATGGGAGCAGTGGTGAGATTCAAATAATTTAACAGCCCTCGTGATTTCTTCCAACAACCAGTTCACCAAACTGCTCAAAAAGTTAACAGCTGGTTCTCCCAAACCACTGTGAACTGGTTGAATCTCACCACTGGATGGGAGGACAATCAAGACAAGTCAGAGACAACCACACCAGTAGATACTCTGGCAGAAATATTTTCTATTGCAGTCAATAGAAGTGATTACATGAGCAAGCATCTATAGCATAGATAGCATAGCAGCTGCAGTACAACTGTACCCATGCAACCGTACTATGCATACCATGCACTGTACCCATGCATACAGATTTAATTTATACCCAGGCAATATGAATATTAGGAGCAGAAAGTGAGCTCTTACATGATTCAAATCAATCCAAAATATGGTTTAAACCAAAGATTTAAATAGGACTTAAAACCAAAGTAAACCAACCATGATTTAAATCAAACCAGGGTCTATCTATACTGTTACAACTCCATAACTTTACTTCTCAACCTGCAGAGTCTTTGACAACCATCCAGGTCATTCCTGCTGATAACAGAAGGTCTAAACCATCCCCCCCTTTGCTCCTTACCTCCATAAATGAGACATCTTGCCTTTTAATATTTATCAAATGCAAATTGCCAATGATAGGGAGCCGGGTAGGTCCAGGAGGCATAAGTCGAGATGACCAGCTGAAGTTGTTCAGAAACAGACTCACTAACAGCAGCAGTAAAATCAAGATGATGTTGGTTGGGTCGAGGAGGAAGGATGTCCAAGGAGCCATGTTCACAGGAGCTTTGGAGATGAAGAATGGGGAAAGGCTCTCATGGAGCAAGTCTAGAAAAGGTATTTTTATTTGGTAAGAAACCAACTTGGCAATTCTTCACAGAGTTTGTGAAATGGCCCGTGCCAGAGTTCCAGCCCTCTTCACAAATCCTCCCCCAGGATTTCATATGCTTGGTTATATCACTCAAAGTGTCAAAATTTCCTTGGTCACTTCAAGACGGAAATCACGTGCTTTACTCAGGGGCGTCCACTATTCTCGAGACTCGGTCAAATTCTGGACAGCCCATAAGCAAAATCTGGTCAGGATTCAATGCATTTTTTTTTCAACATCAGCTTTCACTACAAAGGTCTTGAGTCAATAAATTTAGTGATTTAAAGCACATTCCATCTTCAATTTGCATTCAAAAAAGAATCCAGAGAATTTGTTTAATCTGAAACTGAACAGAGGCCATCTGTCAACAAGAGGACATTTGGCAAAGGGAACAGGGGGGAGTGCTAGAAAGGTGAAATCCTCAAATCGAACGATTAAAAGACATGTGTTAACTTTCAATGTATGTTGGCAAGAATACAGAATCTTCTGAAATACTAGACTTTGGTAACTCAGGGAAGCAATAATTGGTGGAATCTAAGAGGAAGTTGGTTGATTTTACATAACAGATGCTTCGGTCTCCTTCATCTGAGGAGGCCTCTTTTCTGTTGCCCCATGGCTTCCTCTCTTCCATCTTTTTGGGAACAATTTTCATCGGAGAGCTTAACTTTTGCCTATTAACTCTTCTGAGCAATGACTTGCAGGCTTGGTCCAAGCGAGGGCCCTTGCTTTGCACAGATGATCCAAAATCTCTCAGCATGTTTGGATTTGGGCACAAGGGAGGTCAACACCGCCTCCTTAATTCCAAGTTCATAGCTTGTTGTGAGATGGGCAGTGATCTAAAAACCCCATACATAAATAAAGTCAGCCTCCCTGAGATTTTTTCCCACATAGGAGCTGTTTTTCATAGAACCAATACCTCTCTACAAATGGATTCTCAGCGCTTTCTGGTCTCCAAGTCAAAGCACAACCATTTTCACAGACTTTGAGGTCCAAGCGATGGTCACGTCTTTTGTTACCCTTGTCCACTATTCAACCCGTTCCTCTTCTCATGCCTTTCAACTGTTTGTCTTCCAACTGTTTTGTTCTAGATCATTTATGATTGGTTCACCCAACAATGTCACTCTAGGAACGAGACTGGTATAACCATCTCCTGCTCTCTGTTCCTTTGGGCCAATGTCTCTTGAGAATCGTTTTGCAAATTCAGACTCTAAATAGCAGCTAGAGGTGAGTGCCTCAGAGTAGCACCTGAGAGAGCTGAGAGTTTATTTATTATTTTATTTTGTCAAATATGTACAAGATAACAAGTATAGGTATGAACATAAACAAGAACGAAGGGAGTAAATACAGGTGAATGGGGACAGTGAGACGGGGACGGTAGGCATTCTGGCCCCCTTTAAGGAGCTCTTAGGAATGGGGTGAAGTCCATGGTAGACAGTTTGAGGTTGAAGCTGTGAGAGGTTGAGGCTGTAACCATGGAGTCGGGTAGGGCACTGTGGCTGAAGTCGTATTTTCTGCAAACCAGTTTGGAGAGGTTTACCTTGAGTTTATATTGGTTGTTTGCCCGTGTATTATTGTGGTTGAAGCTGAAGAAGTTGTTGACTTCTTCAAGGGATTCTTCAATATGTAAAGATAATAGATGAAGACACCGGAAAAGCAGGGGTGGGATTCTACCAGTTTCCACCTATTCGCTAGAACCGGTTGTTAACATTCTAAGCAGTTTGGAGAACCGGCTGTTAGAAGAAATTACAGGGCTAATCCTGTAAGGAAGGCAGGAAGGAAACATTCTGGTGTTGCTTACAGAAACTGCCTCTCCGTTAATCCTTATTACATTCTTGGCAGGATTAGACTTCCTGTCTCAGGAACCTCTCTGGAGTTTTTTCCCCCCTCCTTTGCTGGTACTTTGCTTGTGTGGAATGACCATTCAAAGTTACAATGGCACTGAAAAAAGTGACTTATGACCGTTTTTCACACTTACGACTGTTGCAGCATCCCCACAGTCATAAGAGGCCAGGCGAGGAGATGCGTGCCTCGATGGGAGTGATGTTGAGTTGGCCACACCCAGCCAGTCACATGACCACCAAGCCACGCCCACCAACTAAGCCACACCCACAGAACCGGTTGTTAAAAAATTTGAATTCCACCCCTGAGGAAAAGATATCTATGACTTCAGTTCCATGACTGAAAAGCAAGAGATTGTTACAAGAGAGAGATTTAAAACCCAAAACAAAACGAGAGAGGTCCAAATGAGCACGCAGAAGCCAGCTGTAACCGATTGTTCCCTGCAATGTTTATCATGGTTTAACGCCAAGAACTGAATCTGGGTCTCAGATTTTGCCAGAGAAAGCGAGAGATCCTTTCTCAAAATCACAACCAGTGTCCTAAGCTTTCAGGCTGCCTGGGCCAACAGTTGGGATGGGTCAATAAAAAGTGAATCTATAACTAACACACATGATCGCCAGACTCTTGCAACACCATTCTGACCTCGGGACTTGCCAAGTCTGGTTTTCTGAGCTGGATTCACTCAGAAGGTCAGCAATTTTGATGACTTATGGACAAAACAAATCTGTAGAACTGGAGCAGCAGGTTAAAAATTAAAAATGAGGGACGCAACATTTTACCCAGAAGCCAAGAAATTCTGTGAAAAATTAACCGCTGGCAGATGCAAGGGGTCAAGGTGGTGCCAAGGAAAATGCCACGGAGGAGGGAACTTAGAAGAGAATGGTGGTTGTGCGCTTCTTGTAGACACAAGTATATCCAACTTTAGTTTCTCTAATGTATTAAATATTCTTTTCCTTCTGATTGCTGAATTTATATGAATCATCATAAGCTTAATTTCCACTTCCATGGTTTTATTTATAATATGCTGTGGTTGAAGCACAGCTGACTTCCATCTGGGAGGGAGACTCTGGATGGTCTTTCCAAAGAAGCCAGGGTTGAAATATTTGAAATTCTTGGAGGGGGCGCCAGGTTGGAGAAGAGAAAAACCACTTACTCTGTCACCTTTTCTTCTCCAAGGGGAGAATGAGGAAAAACAGGCTCTATCACAGGCTTGATGAGGGGGTCATTTAAACGAGGGGTGTCCAACTTGGCCACTTTAAAGACCGGTGGACTTCAATTCCCAGCATTCCCTACGGTGGCTGAGGAATTCTGGGAGTTAGACTTACTAAACTTTGCAATTAAGGAAGAACAAGTTAGAGGATAAACTCTCAAACCCTCTTTGGATTATAATTCTCTAGATGATTGGGGTTTTTTCCTTCAGCCAGCAGAGGTCACTACTATATTGCAACTTCAGCTATCGAGAAGTCACTAAAACACCAGCGTCTTTGCAATCTACCCATCCAGCAAACGGTTCAGATAGGCAGCTGCATGGGAAGGTTTCTCCACCTCCCAACAGTGGATCTGTAGCCCTAAGGTTTGCTAAGTATAGATACTCTGGGAAGCTTCACTTCCATTGTAGAGGGACTTTATTACTGCTGAAGGACAGGAAAACCTAGTCCATCTTTCTCAGCCCGATACTCTTCTCAGCCTTTCTACCAAAACATTTGGAAAGGCTCGGGTTGAGGAAGGGTCTCCACGGGAATTCTACGAAGGGCTCAATAACCCTACTCTCAAATCCTGAAGGCATCAGGCTCAGGAGATGGTGGCACACCATTAATATGCTCTGAGAGAGGTCCTTGGTGTTCTCTGAGCTTGGTCTTTTTTGAAGACCTTTCAAACTGAGGTAACATCATCAGTGCTAGCAGTGTTACTTAGTTTGGGTTAATGAAACGTCTGCAAGAAAACCACCAAGCTCAGAGATCATCAAAGACCTTTCATTTCAACCCTGTGCTACAAACATTCTCCTTTATCAACAATGCTCTGTCCACAACACTCCCACCAAAATAAAGAGATGGATATTTTGACTCCCACTTATAAATGCCTAGCTAGCAGAATACTGACAGTTGGTTGCACGGCAGAAGAAAACAAGAACGTTTGGATGTCTACCATCTCAACCAAGCGTTTCATTCTACCCAGATTGGGTACAGAATGGTTTTCAGAGAGATTGAAGTACTTTCATGGAGAGGTTGCTCTTGTGATCATTGGCAGCGACTGATGTAAGAGAGATCCACGTTCAGAAGAAGGATCTTAACTGAAAGTTGGTTCTTTGCAGTCAAAAGTTCAGAAGGATTTATTCTGAGGGCTTTCATGCGAAGCAGCTAAATCTTTGGTTAGAAAAGAACCCTGGATCTGTTAAGGATCCAGATGACCATCAGCCAAACACCCATGGAAACTTCCTGTCCCCGGAAGCTACCAGGAAGGATCAAAGTTGAGATCTTGTCGGCTATCAGTCAAGTTTTTCACCCAAGATGCATAATTTAGAGAAGTTTCATAAAGAGATCCATCAAGGAAACCAGTCTCTGAAAGTGACAGAATTAAAAGTAAAAAAAATGTGGCCATTTGTTAGTCATGCTGAAAATAGAATGCATTTAAAAGAAGAAAAAAGAATGGTATTTGAAGGCCTCAATTAACAAATTCCTGATGGCAGCTGAGGGGAAAAGACGCGTCCTAGACAGCTTCAATTTACAACATTGGCCTGGAAGTCCATCACTTTAAATCAAAATTTGAAATGTAGAAATCCTGGGAGAAAATCCAACACGAATGCACAAAGTTCAGCAGGTTGCAAAATTACGAAATGTTCTTCTTGGTTGGTCTTAGTAAGGATCCATATTAAGCTCTTGTAGCCCAAATTCCTGATTAATTCTAAATTTTGGAACTGAGCATGTTTGGCTGATGGTCACCTTGATCCTTAACAGATCCAAGGTTCTTTGCTAACCAAAGATTTAGCTGCTTCGCATTGGAAGCCCTCAGAATAAATCCTTCTCAACGTCTGACTGCAAAGAACCAACTTTCAGCTAAGATCCTTCTTCTGAACAGCATCGCTAGGAATATTCTAGTGAAAGAAAGGCAGGAACAAGACGTTATGGCCACCCACCCTTCGGCCTTTAGGAGATTTCTGTTGCCAGGGGTAGAAGGCTGTTAGATATAAAGGTTGACCTTCATTCAAGAATTTCAGAAGATTTAATCAACACCAGAAGCTCCTATGGTCCAAAGGACATACAGCAACAGAATCAGATTCGAGACAAGCTCTTTCTTCTGATCTAATATCCATAATGTCCTCTCGAACCACCTTTGTAGCACCACCTCTCCTTTCGAAAGCATGAGAAAGTCCACAACACGCCTTATCCCTTCCTTTCCCTCAACTGGTACTCCTCCAGATGTTTTGCACATCAGTTTTCAGGTCTTCAAACATATAGAGGTAAAGTCACCATGGAAATCTAAAAGAAGTCCTTATTTCTTTATGGAGGTTTAGTTAAACACAGCAGGTGAGTTTCGGAGTTTTGTAGCTGCTCTTCTTGAAAACTGGCCAAAATAAGATCAAAAATGGAACAAGACTAGTTATATTCACCAGTTTTCCTTTGATTCTTCCCTCCATCCCAACCTACCTTCCTTCCTTCCTTTCTTTTCTTCCTTCCTTCCCTCCATCCCCTCAACCTACCTTCCTTCCTTTCCTTCTGTCCATCTCAACCTTCCTTCCTTTCCTTCCTTCCCTCCATCTCAACCGCCCTTTTTTCCCTCCTTCTCTTCCTTCCATCCTACTTTCCTTTCCTTTCTTCCCTCCCTCCATCTCAACCTCCTTTCCTTTCCTTTCCTTTCCTTCCTTCCCTCCATCCCCTCAACCTACTTTTCCTTCTTTCCTTCCTTCCTTCCTTGTACCATCATTCTTTTTTTTGTTGTAATGAAACACTGTACTGTAATGCACAACGTACATTTGCTTCAAATGGTCACTTTTCAGCTCCACTTTTCTTTAAATGCCACCAAAGTTTGAAACTTAAACCCCATTTCAGGCTCCACCATGCTCAAAGCCAATTTTGCCTCTGAGGCCTGAGATTATTTCATAACCTTGCTCTTTTTTTTTTAATTTTAAAAAAAAAGAAAGAAAGAAAAACGTGTTAATTCACGTACATAAGTTATTCCACACAACGATTAGGATTAGCTTTAATTTTTGTCGGAAATTCTGATCCAGAAAGGAAGTCGAGAAGAGAGGGAGGAGTAGACGGGCTGTATTTTCTGGTCAGTCGTTTGCCTGACCGATTTTCCCCCATTGTATTCAAACAAAAGGCCCGTTTCAAAGTGATAAGACCTTCCGATAAACCTCCACAGGTTTTTCCTCCTATTGTATCTCACCCCATTCATAGATACTCAAATCAACAAGGAAGCTGGTTTTTTTTAAGGCTCTTTTCCTGGGAAAATCACAGGGCACCATTTTATGTTGGCGGGGAAGCGTTTGCGAATCCCAAACTGTGGCTCACAATTAGGGGGGGGAAACCCCCCCCCCCTGACTTTTTCTGTTTTCTTCTACCTGCGGAACCAGCATGGATTTAAAAATCTCAAACAGTGTAATCCATTAAAAAACAACCAACCCTCTCGTTTGTCCTTCTGAAGAAGCATTTCTATACTCGGCAAACACCCTGCGCAAAATGGGAGGCTTCAGACTTTGGAGGAATTCCCACAGCTGTTCAAAGGAGGATCTGTCTGCCCCAAAACTCCCCGTTTTCTCCCCAATAAAGACGGGGAGAGAAATCCAGCTGTTTCGTGCGGAACAAGCCACCCGGCTTCCAAGCTGAATCCCCCATTTCTCCCCCTGTGCTTTTCGCCAGAAGCTGGGACTTAATCAGCCTTCGCCGTTTCTTTCTCGTTATCTATTAAATTGATGTGGCTTTTTAAGAGACCAACACGGCCGCTGGGCCAAATACAGATAGTCCTTGACTTACAACGTTTCGTTTAGTGGCCATTCGAAGTTACGAGGGCCCTGAAAAAAGCGGCTTGTGACCGTTTCCCACACCAGCAATGGTTGCAGCATCCCCGCGGGATCAAAATTCGGACGCTTTGGCCACGGACTCGTATTTACGACGGTGGCACTGTCCCGTGGGGTCATATCCCCTTTTGCATCCTTCTGATGAGCCAAAAAACCAAGAGGGGAACCAGATTCATTTAATGACTGCCTGACTAAGGACAGCAAGTGATTCACTTAACGAGAGTTGGCAAGGGATTTCGTGAAACGGGGCAATCCTTGCTTAACAACTGTCTTGCTTAGCAACGGATGTTTGGGGCTCACCTGTAATGAGAAAACAACAACAACAACCCTAACCAATTAAATAAGGCAGCAACGTCTCAGGAAAACCAGGATGAGCTGAAACAGGCAACCGTAAACTGCGATTGGCGGATTGTTGGGCTCTTCCAAATGAGAGCAAAATGTTTTGCGTTGCCCAATCCTGTCTTGGCTCCTGTTCATGTACTAAATTCCATTCGAATTGTGTTAGCATAACACATCTTGGGTTGCTTACATATTTGGCTGCCAAGATGCAAGTTGCTTAAATGACTTTTTGGAAGCACTAATGGCTTCCATATTTCCCCCACCTCCCCCGAGATTCTGACGGCTGCCTTGTCACAACCCCAGACAAATCCTCTTGTGTTAATAAGAGCCAAAGGTGTTGAGAAGCCTGGAATGGCAGCTGGACAATGGAATAATTAACAACTGCGACCTTTGAATAATGACAAATTCGGGATCCATTTTTTCCTCCCCACAAGACAGTCTGCAGACATCTAGCCTCTTGAACCAGAAAAAAAGTCCAACAGGCAAAAAAACAAATCTACAAAAAACAAGATTTTCCCACTTGGAAAATCACCCTCTGAGGACAAATAGCAGAGAGAGGGATGCATCAACAACGTTAGAAATAGTTTTCCTCTACTAGCCAAACAGCATCTACTGGGGTGAGAAATTGACAGTTAAAAATATAAGGTGGATATAAACATATATAGGAGAATTGGAAGGGACTTTGGAGGTCTTCTAGTCCAACCCCCGCCTAGGCAGGAAACCCTACACCGCTTCAGACAAATGGCTATCTGATCTCTTCTCAAGAACTTCCAGTGTTGGAGCATTTGCAAAGTCTGGATGCAAACTGTTCCACGGGTTAATTGTCGTCACTGTCAGGAAATTCCTCCTTCGTTCTAAGTTGCTTCTCTCCTTGATGTGTTTCCCTCCGTTGCTTCTTGTTCTGTCTTCAGGGTCTTTGGAGAACAGGTTGACCCTTTCTTCTTTGTGGAAACCCCTGAGATACTGGAACACTGCTATCATGTCTGCCCCAGTCCTTCTTTTCACGCAACACCTCTTTTCATGGATGTTGCATGTATGATGCACATCAAAAGTGGTAGGGTTTCAGTCAGATGATCCTGGCTGCAGGAATTGGGTGCGTCCAGTCTAGTGAAAAGAAGGACCAGGGGTGACATAATAGCTGTGTTCCCATATCTCAGGGGTTGCCCCAAGGAAGAGGAAGGGGTCAACCTCTTCTCCAAAGCTCCTGAAGGCAGGACAAGAAGCAACAGATGGAAACTCACCAAGGGGAGAAGCAACCTGGAATTGAGGAGAAACTTCCAGATAGTGAAGACAACAAACCAGTGGAATGGCTTGCCTTCAGAAGTTGTCGATTCTGAACTTTTTGACCTTGTCCATGGACTAGGACCTTGTTGCTAACCACAACATACCTAGGAACATGAAAATGTTGTGAGCTCTCAGATCGGTTGACAAAAACAGAATATTCAAGGTAAACAAGAATGGTCTCGACAAAGGTTACAGCTTAATTAGGAGCCAACAAAATGCCCATCTCGTCTTTTGAGATGGAATGGAATGAAACTTCTGGAATTTCCAGGTTGAGGATCATCAACCTGGTCTCGGGCCCATTGGAGAAGACGGGGAGAAACGTCTACTACAGAAGATTGACAGCGCTAACGGTTACCAAAGAAAAGAGGAAGGAAGGAAGCTAATTCTGAAAAGCTGCATCCAAGTATTGTTTTCAATACCGACCCGTTTATTGGGTTTTTTTTTTTTTAAAAAGTTATTTCTTCCACTTCCTTGGCAACCCTGGAAGAGATTTCCAAGCAACATCGGGTTTGTGGCCAAGAATTTAAAGAATGGCTAAAAATGGATATCTGGTCCTTGTAACTTTATGCCGATGGAAGGATTTAAGACACTGAAAAGTCAGGAGAGCAACTGCAAAACTTTGCGGATACGTCCACGTTTTCCTTCCAGGAGCTCATCTTCCATGTCAGATTGATCGTACTCCTTCATCAGAGCTTCTGCTTTCTGCACCGTTGTGTCTCGGGCACGGCCTTGAAGTCCTTCCAGATACCGTAGCAAAATGGAAAAGTATTGATCGGGGACCTGTAAGAGAGAGAAGGAAGGGAGACCAAAGTGTTTTTAGCCAGCCACACACAATGAGTGGAACAAAATGTGGCTGTTTTGCTTTCTTATCCTATCCTTTGGAGCAGGGGCCTCCAACCTTGGCCACTTTTGTGGACTTCAACTCCCAGAATTCCTCAGCCAGCATAGCTGAAGTCCACAAGTCTTAAAGTGGCCAAGGCTGGAGACCTCTGCCATGGAGGATGGCCCTGTTTCTTGTGGATAAAGAAAAGAATTGTGCTTTAAAAGGTGTGGACTTCAACTCCCATAATTCCGCACGCTGGCTGGGGGATTCTGGGAGTTGAAGTCCACACCTTTTAAAGCAAATGAGGTTGAGAAACGCTGATGAACAAAACAAACCACACAGCCAGGACAATGTCAAATCTGGAAAAATAACCCACTTTCTGATGAACCCATAATTCTCCTAAAGGGCTATCCCAAGGCATGGGGGGTAAGAGCCAACTCTGAAGGGCTCGAGCATCCATATAAGGGAGGCCCAACCAGACAAGGTTTGTTTTGGGGTCCAATCCAGTACAGGTTGACCCTACTAGGTGGAGTAAGGCGAGCAGAAACTACAGATCCCTAGTTCATTGGATGATTCCTCCTCTCAGGAGGGTATCCATCTCCGTCCCTTAGCAGGTTGGGTGCCCAGACCACAGCAGCTTACACGAAGGCAGCTTGGGGCACCTCCCTCTGGAAAATGGGCAAATCCAGCGGTGGGATTCTACCGGTTTCCGTACTGATTCAGGGATCGCGCTCTTCCCAAAGGCCAGCTGAGCGGACAAAGAAGAGAAAAGCGCAAGGAGCGAGTGGGAAGGTCCATCCTGGGCTTTTCTCTGCTTTCTCCTCTCAACTGATCGTCGGAGCTTTTTTTTTTTTTTTTGCTACCAGTTCAGCCAAACCGGGGGGGGCAGCACCGGTATCATTTCACCACTGGGCAAATCGCAGAGTTAACCGGACATTGTAGCAGGGCTGCGCGGCTGAACCTCACACCTGGGGATGGGGTGGAGGGTGGGGGCCTACCTGGTCTTTGTCGTACATGTGCAGAAGAAGCCACGTCTGCCTCGTCTTCTGAAATTTCCAGCCTTGGGGACTCCCTGACCAGCTGCCACCAAACCAGAAAGAGAAAACAGAAAGAAGGAATTCAATAAGGTAAGAGGGGGAAATATTTCCGTTTTCACCCATATTTCCGTTTTCAAAGGGGTCCAGATCTCTGTTCAGATCCTGATGACCCTGGGGGAAAAAAAAGTACTGAGCAGAACGTGCCAAAAGAAAGATAGAATGGTTGGGGTATTCTGAGAGATGGAAGTCCACGCATCTTAAAATGTTGGGAAGCAACTGTTCTTCTACAGTCTTTGTGACGGGACCTTTATTTCAACAACTGCCTTAAACCTTCCATTTGTTGTCTGAACATGCCTACTCTGAATAAGTCCAATTTACTGGGGTGGATGACCCTGGCTTTCCAAAGCTGTCCAAGAAGGAAATTAAGACTGCAGTGATACGTTTATATCACCCTACAGCAGAACAACTTTAGAAGGAAGTCCACCATTGGGTCTTGGACTAGAAGACTGGACTAAGAAGAACTCCAAGGTCCCTTCTAACTCTCTTGCTATCCTGTTATACTTACTCAGGCATATTCAGTGTTTCTCGTTTGGCACGGTACTGAGGGCTTAGAAACAAAACCACAGCTTGTTGTAACCCAAGAAACTACTTCACGGAGACAGGTGATCTTGAAACGAGGGGTTATGAAGCCAGCTTTTCATAGCCCACAACTCTGATGAAACAAACCTGGATTTTAATTGCTTCTGATGGAATATTTAGACCAGGTTTGTTGGGACATAATGTTAAATTACGATGTGTTGACCTTAAAGGGTTGATTTGTGTGCCTCAAATCACTCGTGTTTACGAAACAGGCTTAGTCACGGCCAACAACATACGATATCCAAACCCGGAGAGTCTGATGAAATTTGTGTTGGATCTACACCACAGTTTTTGGAGGAGTAATTGAAGCTTATTGGAATCAAAGCTTCTTACAACAGTCCAACCATCAACAATTTTGGCAAATGTTTTCCAAAATACCTTGCTAATCTATGGAGAAAGAGTTGCAGGCTTTCTCTGTGCAAACACAAAACTGCTCCCTAAGCCAAAATCTGTAGCAGAAGAATGTGACATAAAATCTAACATAGCTAATTGCAAGTGTGTAAACAGGAAAATTACTTCCCTTATACAACTGACTCCTTGGGTTGTTTTTTTTTCCTTTCCTAAAAGCACTATTGACTCTGATTATATTATGGGGGGAAAACCCCTCACAAAGGTTTCTCCCTGTATAATGGTACTCTTTTATCAGAAACACAAAAGCCCACTGGATCAGACCGACCTAGAAAGCAAGGTACACACACCAACGTGCACAAATGAACGGAAGCCAACACAGAAAGAATCCAAGCAGCACCTGGCACATTACAAGAAAGGCGAGGTGGGTGGGCCATCCTCAAGATGGATCAGTCCCATAAGAGTTGAGTATTAGTCTCGACCAAGATAATGCACGCTTTGCTTCCAGCAACTTTGCCATGCGCACTTTGCCCTTTTAACAGTTTTCCCAGCTGCAGCCCATGAAGGAGATCAGGGCCCCTTCCTCCCCCGTAAACCATGCAACTCCTTTATCCGTTCCTCCCTGTGTGCCCTAGGATGAAGAGGGGTGGGCCTGGGTCTTCCTCCGAATGCCCAGCCAGCCTGTGCCCCTCCCCAGTTTCCTCCACAGCCACCGGAGCCACACTCCCACTCCACTGTCTTTCCATGAGGGTTGTCCAAGGATAAGAATCCAACCCACAGAGTTGCCTCTAGTGAACCGCGACACAATGCAGCTGGACCGCTTGTTTGTCTCCAGATGTCCATGCTATACGGCCTGAGGTCCTGGAGGATGAAACAAGGGAAAACGCAGCTTATCTCATTTCCCTCCCTTGACAAACTACTGGGGGGTCAGGGTGGGGGTGGCAGGGAAGGGAAAGGAGGCCTCAGTATTTGGCAAGGAAAAGCTTAGCTCAGGCAGGCAGGATCGATCACCAACAGGGTGGCCAAAAAGATTTCTTTAATTTGTATATTTTCATCCAGCAGGCAATACGTTACCAACTTCAGGAGAAGGGTAAAAACCCATTTCTTCTTCTTCTTCTTCTTCTTCTTCTTCTTCTTCTTCTTCTTCTT